CCCAAAACCCATCTGTAGACAATTGGACATCCCCTTACAGAAGGGTCACAAGGAAGAAAGGAGTCAGTCAGGATGCAGAATAGCACCAATGAAACATACAACTTTTCCTCTAGTTCTTTAATGCTTCCTCTCTTCCTACTGTCATGACCCGAATTCTATCTTACAAATCTGGCTAGATCCGAGCATGTACACTAGGACAAGAGCTGGCAACACAGGGAGGGAGTCCAGGACAGATAAACCCCCCAGGACCAATAATGAGAGTATCGATACCAGGAGGGTAAGGGGAAGGTGGGGGGAGAAAGAGGGAACAGATCATAATGATTGCCATAGAACCCCATCCCAGGGGGATGGACAACAGAAAAGTGGGTGAAAGACAGTGGTTGGTATAAGACATGAAAAAAATATATATAAATTATCACGGGATCATGAGGGAGGGAGGGAAGGGGAAATGAGCTGATACCAAAGACTCAAATAGAAAGAATATGTTTTGAAAACAATGATGGCAACATATGTACAGATGTGCTTGACAAATTGGATGAATGTATGGATTGTGATAAGAGCTGGAAGAACCCCAATATAATGATTTTTTTTAAAAATTAGATTTTTTTACAAACTTTTTGAAGCTCCTTCATATACCTATTATCCATTTGTAATACTCTTATGGTTCTATAAGTGTGGCAGGGAATTGTAGATTATGAACTTATTTGTTACGTGTGCATATAGAATAGTCCATGTTAATCTCTGAAGAGGGAAAAAACTGGTTCCTTTTATGCCAGTTCCATTTATTCTACAAGGAATAAATAAAACAGTATCTTAAAAAATGTTTACATATGAGAAACATACTATGTATGACTACCATAGAAGCATTTTGTACATTAACTTCTATTTTCAAAGCATAGTGCTTTAGATAACTAAACTATAAAAATCACAAGTAACTAAGATTTCTAAGTAGCTTATATCTTTTTATCCTCTATTAGTCTGAATAATTCTTCTCAATGTAAAAAAAATTAGTGACAATAAAAATGTTCATAAAAATTTAAGATTCAGCTTATATTTTACCACACAAAGAATTTATCTAGATTTAAAATACAGTGAAGCTAAATTTGTCTCAGGTATTCATATCAGAAGTGTTTTATGCAGAATTTGAAAATGTCACTAACTTTTAAAATTTGTAAAATGCAAAGACTTTTCTAATTTTAGAAAGCAAAGATTGTTTTGTATACATATATACTACAGAATTGACTGACCAGAGTTGTATCAAATCTATGTACAGAATTTATATTAGTTATACATAAAGGCCTAGTAAATTATAGAAACTTTTCAATTAGGGGCAGAAATACTAGAATTATATTTACTGGTCTATCTAGTTCTGATTTTCTACAATTCCATTCTATATTCTAATATAATTACGGAATAAAATTCCAATTATTTTTAAAAACCCATATTATATAATCCACAAAGACAATGTTCTATATCCTACTTTGGTGAGCAGCAAATGAGGTCTTAAACACTCAGGAGCAGCCATCAAGGTTCATCTATCGATGGCTTGCTATCTGAAGCAAAGAAAAACGGAGAAAATAGAAGAAAATGGAAACAATTAATGCAGTAGACTACATGATCTTGCAAAGCATCAGCCTCCCCAACTCCGAGATCAAAAGATCTCAGTGACCACTAGCAATTGATCTGATAACATTAGCTCCTAGAAGGTTCTGAAGAGAGTGGAAGACGTATATGGAACAAAACTAAAAATCATAAAAAAGACCAGGCTTCCTAGTGGAATAGCGCCTGAGGGGACTCCTAGGGCTTTGGTCCTCAGTCCCTTCTGGTCTGGAATGGAACTCAGTTTTCTGCCAAACAACAGACAGGTCAGTCATATAAGGGGAAGAGTAATAGGAGGGAGGTATGCGCACCTTAGAATATTCAACCAGTTGAGATAAAAAAGGCAGCATTAACCAAGGGCAAAGTTCAAAAGGGTTATGAAAGGAGGAGGAACGGAACAGAAAACAGGGCAATACATTTGGGTTTACAATGAATGAAACCGCATGTATGAATTGTTGAATGGAAACCGCTTTCCTCTGTAACCTTCATACTGAAGTTAGAAAGAGCAAGGGCCATGGAAGAACCACACCAGCCTATGCAACCACAAGGTGTCGAAGGGATCAGGTATAAGGCATCATCAGAACAAAAAATCTTACCATAGTGAATGAT